GTGGATATTTTGTCCTTGGATATTTTGACCGATTACCGAATAGGGTAATATTGCGGTTGGGTGATTACTTTAGAGCGGCCGCTCGACATCCCGTCATCTATTACCTTTTGTTTTAGATTCTGAGCGATATGTTATACAATTATGCATGTGTTTTTATTTTTATTTTTTTTTTTTCGGCGCAGTAAAAATGTTTCGATTTTCCACGTAATCGTCTTTTTTGGTACAAAAGTAATTAAGTCGGTACCTACTACCTACTCGTGGTGGTGGTGGGGGGGGGGGACATTCCCAGTCATTTTTAAAATCGTAGAGAAAAACAAAAACAATATTTTTTTTAAATGATTCCTCTGAAGTTGTTATAGCAGCAGTTCAAAAACATTAAAGATACATACGCACGATTGCACTTTAAATGTATAAAAACCATGAAAATTTGCAAATTATTTTATAGTTAAAAATTTACAAAATGATCGATTTTTATTGCTTGGAATCGAAAATTTAAAACAAGATTCCTGATAAGTAGTTAAGCAATCAAAAAATCTACAAAATATGTAAACACAATTTTTTCATAGATATTTAAAGTTCATATTGGATGAAATGGGATATTTCAACGAAGAATAACAATTTTAGTAATTTTGTTGTAATTGAAAAATATTGTTCGTGGGTACTTGAAACTTTTGAAGTATATTATTATATTTTATACACATAATGACATTTTCATATGCAATGTTTTCGGCAATAAATAACTTAGGTAGGAATAATTTCATAAAATTAAAAAAAACTTGGTAGTAAGGCTGACATACCTCTTCTCTCAGAATCGTTTTTTTTTTTAATATGATTTTGTACTATTGAATTTAAATTTAACACATCTGTTACAGTAATGCACATGTCACCTAATGTACAGTAGGGTGGTGCCTACTTATCTATCCTTTATTTAACTGGCAAATTTTCCAAATTTACTTTCAATAAACCTTTCTTAACACTATAAAAATACACCTTTCTCGGCTACACCGTCCTTCACGACTATTTTTTTCTCCAAATCACTTAGTTTTTCATTTTTGCACTTTGTAATTAAGATTTATATTATTATATCTACATAAAATAAATCTTTTTTATTTATACAATATTCAATTTTAGTAATAATTGTTTTAATTGAATATAAATAATAGTAGGTACAGGTATTATGCTTATTTAAATAATTAATGTTTGTTGGACTTCATTCGTTTTTTCTTCATATATATTATTAATTATTTTATTTGACGGTTACATTCCATGTGCATCTGGAAACTGTGTAAAATGTATCTATTGTTCGTGCTAACACATGCAGAGAGCTATGTACCTACCTATGGTCACTGAATTCGACATGTGGTGGGATATAATAATAATATAAGTACAACTATAAGTTTTCTAAATTCTAATAAACGTACAAAATATTTGAGTTCAACATTTTATCCTCTAAATAATAGTTTTTCATTTGGAAGCGCGGTCTGCCGGTCTCCTTAGTCTTAAATGTTTAATCCCGGGATTCAAATTTTAAACTGATAACTCATCAGTTATTAGCCTATATTTCTGTATAGCTGTATGACCAGTGTACGTATAGTATGTTTATAAAATATGGTAAGTCAAAAAAGAAAAGTTATCATAGCTAAAAAAGTTGAAGCACAACTACGAGCCAAGGGAGTTTTTACACATTTTTAGCTAACTTTGAGTATTGGACAGTGTACCCTACTATCATCTCTCTCCTTGTCCCTTGAAATAGGTCTGAGTAATTTATGTGAAATGTGTTGGAATATTATAACATAAGTAAAGATTTTCGATTTAAATGAGATTTAATTGATTTTCGTTCAAAACAGATGTAAAAAAATAGTTTTCAGTCGGAAACTAAAGTAAGATAGTGTACACTGTGTGTAAGTTTATAGGAATGCAATGAATCAACAATTCATATTGTAAATTTATACCCTCGTTTTATATTAGGTTTACGTTTTGAGCTGTATTCAATTAAAACGAATATATAAGGGGAATGAAATGGTTATTATCTGTACCTATAAAGGTTAAACGTATATAAATTATTTTACTGGCGGCAAGGGGGATTAAACGAAACTGCAGTAATAGATTCGTATTAGTATCGTGACGAAGTGTGGCGTGCGGAACGTATTTTCGAGTTTAATCTGAAAGGTTGGTGTCAAAATCTCTACAACGGGGTCGACGCGAGGTCGTTGATTATTTCTACGAGCATACAACAATCAGTGGAGTCGTATCTACACACTTAAAATATCCTCGAGAAGTGGACGTTGGACCTTTGGGCAGTGCGTATACTATATAGGTTGCGAAAGTGGGAAAAGACACAGAAAAAAGGACTACGGTCAACACCCCAGAGACGCGATAACAGCTTTAACCCTACGCACCGGATAACATCGGCCCTTTTGTTAAAAATGACCTCTTTTAATCAAAGCCCCTTCCGATTTCATTTTACCCATTACATCCACAATAAGGTATATAAACAGTCACGTCAAATAAGAAACATTTATTTATAGAAGCTCAATACAATTTAACAAAAATTGATCTATTTTCAGATCTATATTTTACAATATATTATTTTCAATATTCCATCAGCCATTACGCATATTCGTATACCGTAATATGTCAATAAAAAGCTCTCCAAATGTATTTAATTTAAATATTCCCTTACGTAGTTAAATTAATCATATTCAATTCACAATTCTATGCTACAAGTTTTTAAATACGTTATTCTTTAAAACGTTGAAGTATTATTAATTTTCTTCAAAGTTGATACTATGTTCTAAATCTAAGAACAACTACCGACAGCCATACACAAATGTAATTTGAACTACAATCCAACAGCGGCACACTCAAGATTTTTTTTTTCGGGCGGGGAGAGTGAGGGGACACTTTTATTTGAAATAAAAAATTTGAAGTTTAACTTTTTATTTACAATTTAATGAATTTTATAGATAAATTATTTGACTTGGGCTTGATAATTATTCAACAATATAGTAGTGATCGGGGAGAGAGAGACTTACGGGGGTTTAAACGCTGGTAAACAACTGAAAAACATAACATAATTGTATGTCAAGTTAAATTACTGCAATTATCGAACTCACATTATTTTATTATATTTACACTCCAGACAGTGGTTGGTTAAGTGGATGTAATTCACATTTCGATCAGTTTTTTTCTTAGACATTGATCAATATCAACGCGCATGTAGATATTAGATTTCATTATCCAAATGTAAACATTAATTAATGTATATAGCATATGCCTATACGTAGTACAGTAATAATTACCAAGGCCAATATGGCTTAGGCATAATCTACCCCGATTTCCCATACTGATTTTTTTTTAAAGCAGTTTATTCTCTACAATAGTAAGATGTGAGTAATGTTAAATAATAATTAAAGGAATAGATAAAACAGAGAATTTACTTTGAAAAAGAAATATGTTTACATTTATCATAGTAAAATACTAAACCATTCATATATTATTGGTATGAGATGAACAAATTAATATATTAGTGCATTACCTATACATGTATATCGTTAATAAAATACATAACATTCTCAGAGTAGTATAGGTACTTTAACATAGCACATAGAGAGATGAATATTAGTATTGGAAATTTAGAAACCTTAAACCTGAAACAATGTGTAGATATTTAGAATCGCTATAAAATGTGTAGGTCTAGATAGATTAACTAAAATAAAATGCGAGTGTATTCTGAATTCTGATAATACGGCGTCACCTAATATACTATATTCCAGAATATTATTTTCATTTAACAAACTTTACTATATTTTAAATATTTTACTTTTTACGTTTATTTTATACAACAATAATACATAACATTTTATTTTATTACAATAACTGTATTGAGTTATAGAAGTGCCGATTGATTATATGGCTTTACTCTATGCGGCTTTACCTATATGTACGAGTAAATCATAAGTATAAGGTTATAAGTTATAACTTAAGACATGAAGGTACATAGGTAAATCGTAGATACAAGATTCAATTGACATACGTCAATGTAGCTCAACGGCGGAATACGAAATAGATTTTTTCCTGTACGTTTGGAAACAAATATTATCTACAATATAATAAGTTATCTAACCATACACGTGGTAAAAATAAGTGTACCTAATATAATAATTTGTATTTGTGTAATAACTTATACATAAATAGATTTGGATAAGTAAACGAGTCTTTTATTCTTTTGTCTTTTTCTCGGCGTAAGCAATGGTGATAAATGATAATTAATAAATAACTATAATATGATGCAAATATGCAATAAATATACCCATAGATGCGATGAAAATCAGCAGGCAGGTATAAGTGTAGGTACTAAACTACTAATGCACTATATTAATTATTAATATTGTGGGGTTATTACCTACATATTATAATGCTATATACACTAAAGTCACTAATGTAAAGTCTAGTTAATCTAAAGTCGTTTTTGCCGTAATATGTAATTAAGGTAAAAAAATGAAATGTTCAAAATGTTCACTTGGACTTGGCGTCTTTTAATCGAAAGCATACATAAATCACATTTCAAACCATATTTTCGCTCATAAAAAAGGCGACATAACATGCGTGACGACTTGGCATAAACTTGGCTGAACATTGTACATAATATAATATACTATTATAAATATAACATATTCGATAACTTCATCGTCGTCGTCGTCGTCGTCGTCGGTGGGTGCAGGAAAATCGTCGCGAAGGCGTGGACTCGTTCGGAAGCTGGAGGCGTGTATAGAAAAATGGTGTTTCCGCGGCCTATCGGCGGATGGCTCGAACCGCCGGCGTGGTGGGTTAGGGGCGGGTGGGCGGCTGGGGATGGGTTAGCGCGACGGAGTAGGTCTATATATATATATATGTGGGTAGTATATATATATACCATGAAATGCGAGGAGAAAAATCGCGGAAAACCGTTTATGTGGATCAGTTGCTCCGTTATATATATATATGATTCAATCTTCGCATCTCGCATTGCTGTTACGACAACGGTCGAGTGACGTCGTTTTACCAGTGTGCATGCGTTCCGCTCGCCGCCGACCGTACGACATGTCATGATGTGTAACAGTTACGATATAATATCATATTTTTTTACGTGATATAAAAATACAATATGTCGCGCGTATAACGACAGGAGATTTTCTAATTAATAACTATATTTCGTCTTAATAAATAATAACTTAACTATATTATTATCGTGGTCGTCGCTAACGATCGCCCGTGTTCGTCCGCGCAATAATACTATATTCGATTTTAATAATATATAGGTAGGTATTATGTTGGCCGAGGAGATGTCCGCTGCAACAACGTGAACATCGTGTGCACTTACACGGCGGCCCGCACGTACATAGGTATAGATGTGGCAACTGTCGGCTTGCGATCGGAATGATCTCAGGAGACACTTGCAGATGGCCACCGCTCTCAACCGGGCCAAACCGTTTGGACATACGGCTCAACTTTTCTACAACGGTTTATATAACATTATATACATTAAACATATTATTTTACGATATGGGTATTTATAAATACGTTAAATAATATACCGGGGTCACGCAATGTTTGACCAATCGTTCATTTTTTGTTCTGGGCTAAATATCATTGTGACCGGTTGATTTGCACAGCTTAGATTACAAGTTACAACAGGTCACAAGTAGACCGCAAATCACCCTATTATAGGTATATGTAATCTTCAAATATATTTCAGCATAATATAATATCTTCATGAATTAATAGATTTCTGCATGACATAACGAAGGAGCTCCAGATAATTGGTCGGTAACAGTGGCTTATTCGGGTGACCATCTCCCCCCATTGACCGTATACAATTAATTAGTAATCACTTTTTATTGTTTACGTGCCTATTATAGTAAATTGTATGTGCCCTTCCCTTCTTAAAATTCTAGACGCTTCACTGGTCGATATAACTATACCGAATATACTGCAAACAAATTTTTAAGTGATAAAAATGTTTATTCTTTTTTCAAAATGTTGATTTGTTATTAGTTTCAAATCGAGTAAATATATATTTTCAGTAATTAGTGCTTATTTTGTTAAGAAATTACCCAATATAGGTATTTTCAAATATAACATGTTTACTGATATAAATTTGGTATATTCAGTGGGTCTGTTTTGCAATGGTTATTTTTTGGAGCACCAAAAAAGTGAGTAGGAATAGCACAGAGTAAACTCTAGTTAAGTCAGGTGAGGTGGTGGTGTCTTTGTTATTAGGAAGGGAATACAAGTAAAGAGTATTGTGAATAAACCCTTGACTCTGATAATTTTAAAGTTGGCCACGTTATATATCATACCTAACTGAGATGTTTAAATATACATAATATATGCTTCATGTACTACAGTGACGTGTTATTTACGCACATAATTTAATATAATATACAAGTACCTGTCAGATTATGATTGTTCGTACTGCGTGTGTAATGTGATAGGCACACTATTATCTGAGTTTGTTTTTAAAATTAAAAACTATATATAACCTACCAAAATATAGATACTTATATAGTTATACCTAATACGATTTAAAAACGTACCATAGTGAATAATAAAATTAAACTGTTCCTTGATAATAGCCATGCGTTATACTTTGCCTGTAAATTATTAAAATGCACGCGTGACGAGTGTAATTACATTTATAATTATGGATACAACTTAGGTATATGATATCGTTGTAGGGATATGCAACCGTGGGAGTTAAAATACAACAAGTGGACGCACATACGGTATTTGAGAGATTTGATAAAGGAAATTTAAATAACATTTTGACAAGAACTAAAATTTTAAATCTTATACTATACATTCAAAAAATGTAGTTATACTTAAATATTTTCTATAATATACATTACATTTTGTTAGTTCAATACAGTATAAGATAGTACGGTAACATTTATTCCTACATGTCTGTCCAAATCCCATAGCACTACTTCAAAAAAAGGCGTTCCCCTATACATGAATCATTAATAATATTATCCAAAATATTTCAACTAGGTACCTAACTTTTTATTTATCTTAAAGGTAAATTAAGGACTTCCATAAATCAAAAAACTTCAAACAATCTTAAACATACAAAAATAAAGGCTTCTAACTGTTGCATAATATTTCAAAAATTCTGACTGGAGAAGACGGTATTTCTGAAGTATAGAATTACCAGAAGATTTAACATGCAATATGGTTTACTTTAAATGTACTCCAATCATCCCAGATGACGCTGAACATTCGTTTTCCTTAAAGGTATATTAAATCTTGAAACAGCAAGTCATCCACATTTCAAATTATAACAAAATTCTTGTCTCATAATTTAAATAATTAATAATTTACAAAATAAAGTCTTAGGTACATACATTATGCGTTTGTATTATTCAAATATTATTTATCGCAAATGTAGATAAAATGATTAATAATAAAAGCAGTTTTTTTGTTTACTTGATTAAGTTGCATATTTAATTTTAAATGTTTTGGATTTTTATGGCGTATTTTTTTATTTTACATAATATTTATGTTTATTTAAGATCATATTTGAAAATGTAGGTTGTAACTTGTAGGTGTATTTTTTAGATTTTTACTGATGCAATTCACAGCCCAGCTTATAAATATTTATATTTTACACTGATTAAGGTTGGCCAAATTTCAGTTTGGTGCAGATTTATATAAATTATTACAGTGAATAGTTAAAACATGATTTTGTCGTATCTCTGACATAGTAGCTTATCTCAATAAGACAATAAATCAAAAAAACAAGTTGTTATCTATGATTTCAGAATTTTACATTAAATTGAATTTTACTCGGAGTGTATCCTGTACAATATGTCTATTAAACTTAAATTGGTATAAAAACTGCAGTTAACTAGATAATAAGTATACAACTTACAAATATTTTAATAAATTTCAATATTTCATAGATTTTAGTTTTTACGTAGGTTCACCAAATTGTCTAACTTGCTGAGTTAAATATTTAACAATAACTTATAACAGGTTATTTACCATCAAGGTTTATTATCGGTTGTTTATTTGATAAATTCATTGCATATTTGCATATTTGAAACACAATTTTGTAGTAGATCGTATATTTTTAAAAATATACCTCATTTACAGTTTGCAATATATATTTTTATACTTATCAAATATGAGATAATTACAGTACAACACTGTAAAAAATGCTGTCAAAATTTGAACTTTCAATGCTTATAATAAAAATTGTGCCTGTGTATTTTTAATTTTTTTTTAACTGCTATTGTAGCAATAGGTATATCTGGAGCCTTGAATTAAATTTTTAAGCTGTTTGACCCTAACTTAACCAAGTCTAAAAAATTACAAAATAAACATATGATGAAGCCCACTCATATTGATCAAAATAATTTAGTTAAATGAAATCACATTATTAAGAAACCATGAAAATATGATTAATACTACTCAATTCGCATTGTATAAACTACCTATATTGAGTTAAATAATGTATTTCAATTAGTATATTTGAACAAAATGTTTAGAATTAGAATTTTTAATAATTTTATTATTTATTCATTGTATTCCATGATTTGATCTTAGTATCTTATATTTTCCTAATATTACTATTTTTGAAAGTAACACATACCCATAGGTATTGACAAGCCCGGAATAAGGATCAATCGGGCCCCGGAACATCATACACTTGTGGGTTCCCTTTCGATTTTAACTTCAAAAAATTGTATCACATTTTTACGACTGTATATAATTGTATAATTTCTGTAATATTCACCAATTACAGACTAATTACGTACTATAATTATTCTATACGAATAGATGAAAAATACTCAATATCAATTGTTATACCACCTAGCCACCTAGGTACAATCATAAATAATAAAGACCTACCTATGCCGAGCTAGAGAGCCTTAATAATAATTATTAAGACTCTCTATGGCGAGCTATGCGTACAGCGTATAGATCACACCTCCTATTTTATAAACTTTATCTTATTGCTATCAATTATTATTTATTGGAAATAAATTTAATATTAATTACTACCATTTAGTAATTTTATACGGGATAAAATTAAGAACATTTTTATTTTATAAAATAACTCTTTTAACTATTTTATAATTACTACCTACTAAAATAATTTAATTTTGTTGAAAAGTGTTTAGAACGCATTAAACAAAATATATTTTGAGGATAAAGATACTCCCCCAAAATGAATGTGCTCCCCTGGTTCCCCCTTAATCCGGGTTTGGATATTGGGCGCCTACTCAAACGTGATAAATCACATTGTAATATCATTTATATATAATACAATAGGTCATAGGTGGTAGGTTGGTATAAGGTATATAAAAGTCCAATCATGTTGTGAATTTTTAATTTAGATTCTCCCCCAAAAGTAAAAAACGAAAAGACTATCGTGTTTAGTTTTGTTAAATAGGATTACCAAGCACCCCTGTGGATTTGTGTTGCTTATAATAATATATTACACATCACAATACAACACAGTTTACTCTGGTATATTATATATAATTATAATGTCTACTACTAACCCCTCGATAATCGATATATTTAAGACATAAGAGGGGTCAGGAGTCATTGCAATATTTGAATTCTCTCTCAGACCCACGAACCACATTACACATTCATGTAGAATCATTTTTTACAGTTTTTGAGTATATAATTAATAATTATTCATATAAAATCACTTATTGAAAAAATTATAGAAAATAATACTGTGTATGGTTTGATATTGTGTGATTATTCGACTTAAAAAAAATGTTGTATATTTAATTAATTAATATTAAATTGTTTTTAGACAAACTATCAAAAATATTACACTAAAATTTTTGTACTGGGTGATTTTTTTGGCCTGAGATTATTTAAAAGCATATAACAAAATAACTATTAATTTTTCATGCGGATGCGTTTTGTCTAAATGTTTCGTATGGCCCCATACGGAGTGAAAAAACAGTAATAGCGCCCACATCTTTTCAGTCTTGTCAAAAATGCTTTTGAAATGGTATTTAAATACAGATTCAAAAACACTCATTCAGAAAGTATTTCAAATACTCTTAAAGGAGCACACAACAAAAATAAAAAATTCTTTAAATTTTTTTTAAATGTTAAATTATTGTAGTTATGGTTATATGAAATGATTTTGTAAAGATACGATGTAAAAAAAAATATTACTTTAAGAAATATTAAGAGATGTAGAATAGCCGCTTGACGTCACTGGGCTTGAGTCATCGTAATTGCCTATCTTATTCGTGTAAAAGTTCCTTGCTTCACACAACGGTTTATCAACCTAAATATTTTCTTTTTAAAATTTAATTGACGTATAAATGTGTGGTTTTATGTGTTTAAGACTATGCAAGAATCATTATTTCAATATGACGTTTAGTTTTTTAAGTATTAAAAATCTTAAAACAGACATTTTGGTTAAACGGCGGACCCGTTGTTCGAACCCCACGCGCCGCTCGCCATGACGTGCGGTTTAACCAAAATGTCTCTTTTAAGATTTTTAATATTTGAAAAACTAAACATCGTATTGCAATTCTGATACTTGCATCGTCTTAAACACATAAATCCATATTTTTACATGCAAATTAAATTGCAAAAATAAAATGTTTAGGTTGATAAATCGTTGTGTGAAGCGAGGAACTTTTACACGTATAAGATAGGCAATTACGATGACTCCGGCCCAGTGACGTCACACGTCTTTTTTCAATTGCTCATAACTTATTGAATAATGTGAGTAGAAATGTAAAATCTATACCATTATCCTTAGAATTGAACATTCTTTCAAATAAAAAAACTTATTTTTTGAGTTGTGTGCTCCTTTAAGAAAAAGTATAAATACTTGGCGAGTATTTAAAGACTTTTGTAATGCTTATTTAATTTCACAAGTAGCACGAAGGTATGGCAATTCATTTTGTAATCAGTACTATTTTAAACTAAAGATGTCGCATTTAGGCCATTTAGCTATCATTCGTACTTTGTACTACACTACTATCTAGTATCTACTCTATTTTATACTAAAAAATGAAAATAAATATACATTTTTTATATTTTGATTCTATAATAGTTAGGTATTAACTAAACAATAAACAGTTATAACTTATTAATGAAATATAAAATAAATAATTGGGACTTGGAGCGGGGTAGTGGTTGGCCACTTATAACTAAACCTTTGAAGACACCAGAATGGGTGACCGTTCGGGTTTTTTGTGACGAATTCTTGCTCCACATAAACGGTCTTGACCGTACCAACTGTAACCCCCACACAAACCATGTTGTCAAAAGTAAAAAAAAATATTGAATAAATAATTAATACTCCAATAAATGTTTGATCATTTGATTTTAGTTATAAATAAAATAATATATCTAATGACTAACAAAAAAAAATCTGAAATGTGACGAATTCTTTTGCATTTTTAAAAGTATACGATTCATACACAGTATTTAATATACTTTCTGAATGCTTAGTTTTTAAATTAAGTGTTTACCCATTTAAAAAGTATTGTAAATAGTATAAAAGTATTTAAATACATATTTTGTTCAAACATATATGACTGGATCTTTATGATATACGTATAAAAACGTTTCGATGTGCGTCTTCAAGTTGTAAATTAATTCAGCGATAATCTGACGGTATATTATACACAATATGCTAATCGCAAATGCAGTTCAACGCCCATATTATTGTATCTTAAAAGCGGTGGCGTGTTTGTTTACAGATCCGTATGAGGTAGTCAACGCGGCCAGCAGTCGGCTTGTTGCCCAAGCGGCCGCAGGCTCGGGACAAATACAATTGTGGCAGTTCCTGTTGGAGTTGCTGGCCGATTCCAACAACGTTGGATGCATTTGCTGGGACGGTCCCGGAGGCGAATTCAAGCTGATTGACCCTGATGAGGTAGCTAGGCGTTGGGGCGAACGCAAGTCGAAGCCCAACATGAACTACGATAAGCTCAGCAGAGCTCTCAGGTATTAAAATAAATATTTTCGTTCAGTGGCGGTAGCCCGGATTATGCTTTTTTTTTTCGAGGGAGGGGGTCAAAAGTTCATTGTATAGAGGAGATACTTGTACAATTAGATCTCTCATCATTTTATTTTCGGTTGCAATGAGAACATTTTAGACTTCTGCAGCAACTATTATATACAAACTACAATTTTAATACACGGTTACGTCTTGGTCTTATGTAATACGTTCACTGCGTATCAATGAATGCATTTTTAATTATCCTGAAATTTCATGTGGGGCCGCAGCCTCCTTAGATCCTCCTGCATATTCAGCTGTTAGATACTAAATATTTATGTAACACATTTACGAGCAACGGTAATACCTATATTGTACATAGCTAAGTACCTAAAATATATAATTCTAAACTATTTAACTTAATCGATAGATTATTGAATTCGTGTTCACTTTTATCTAATTATATGGAAACTTGTTAGTGAATAATATTATTTTGGCTCTTTGGCTCTCTTGACGTATCTGTACTGACACCTCCTTTCCTCCTTTAAATCAAAAGTTAAATTTACGAGTTTTGGTTTTGTTGTACTAGAAATAATTGCGTTACACGCACACGTTATACATTCCCATATAATACAGGCATACTCTATACACGAGGAAAAATAAGGGAAAGGTATAGGCTTTTAAAAATTTAAAGTACAAGGATCACTAAAATCGACACAGCTTCTAATTATAGTGCATAATATTACAAAACATAAGAGGTTGGTCGGCATCATCAATTTTAGGTCATTAAATCCCTATGTCACTACAAGCGGTGTCATTTTTACTGAATGTGTTGTGTATACAACAAATATTAATTTATCTTTTAATTAGTAAAATCTAATCTAATCTAATCGATAAGAAAACTTTCTTCTTTTTCCGATCATTCAAATACATAATTTTGTTTAAAACTATTTTAATATGTATTATTGTATATTATATGATTTATGTGGCGTTGTCATAATATTGTACCATTTTCGCAGGTACTATTACGATAAGAACATCATGACTAAAGTTCACGGCAAACGTTACGCGTACAAGTTCGACTTTCACGGGCTGATGACAGCGTGCCACCAGAGCCAGCCGCAGATGCCGGCGGCGCAGTCAGGCCCTCAAGCGGCCGCTGGCCCATCATCGGTCGCCGTGCCGTCTGCGCCGTCGCCATCCGATTTTGCCGGTGGCCTGTACGGCCAGCAGCACGCTTCTGCTTCCGGCCCACCGACCGCCATATTTCCGGCCGGGCCGTCCTACTGGGCCACATCCGCCGCGGGCCTTTCTACTCTATACCAACATCCGGCCGGGCCGCGGTATCCGCCGTAACTCAATAAGTCATAGTAATATTGACCATAGGGACTGATTATCGAACTTTTCGAACCCCCGAACACCCCGAACTTCGATATTTTCGTAGTACAGTTCCAAGTTCATTGGAAACCGATGCTCGAAATCGAATACTTCAAACTCGAAACGTTTCAAACAGTTTCAGAAAAAGCAAATTCCATGTCGATACTATTATAAATATAATTAGTATTTAAAAAAATATAAATAGCCGTACCCTATAGACTATTGGGTATAGAATACCTTTTTTATTTCACGAATTTCCCGTATGGCCGATAAAAATTGTCACCATTTCATAATTATTGCGTTGTAATTCGTCTGGAGTTCGAGGGTTCAATGTGTTCGAAAAGTTCGAGTTTGATCTCAATTCGAATTTAAATTCGTGAAAATTTAAGTTTGACCATTCCCATAATGCACCCAATAGCTGTATACCCTCGCGCTGCAGTTGTCGCACTTTCCTATGACCAAGTATTATTTCGACTGTCGAACACACTTTGTCGTTGAAATAATTGCATAATGAATAATTATTGTTTTGGACATGGATTCCAATAATATATATTGTTCAACATTCTGTTTTGTAGCAAGTATCGAAATGAAGCGTGGTTATCATGAAGCACGCAAACACAATATTATAGGTATACACTTATTATTATTGATATTTCAATTGTTTCTATGCATAAAAACGTGCATTGTACCTAATTAGTAATAATACTTTAGAAGTTAACCCCGCCCTACTACCGTCACTAATTACACGGGGGGTGATCCACTATTTTTCTCAGTATTATGTGACCTATTATAAGACGTAGGTAAGTGCGTGAGAAATTTTATTTCAACAAATATGTTTATTGATAATCGTTTAAAAACTGTCAACATGACTTTCAATTTTTCATTGTATATAATATTATACTGTGTCATTATAAAAAGATAATTATATAAATATTGCAAGATAATACAACATGCATATACTCGTACACTACAATTTACAATTTTAAAATATACCTACTCATAACTTGCTTCAAAATTATATCAAAACAAATAAATGACCTAGTGGGGCCCTGGATAATAATCCTTATCTTTACATTTGATAATTGAATATTAAAAATAGGTAATAGAATAAAATGGATTATTCTAAACTTAAAATTTGGTTTGTCATTGTTATGAGATGGATCATGGATACAATAGTATTATAGGTGCAATATACAGGTACGACATCTTCTTAAAAAAAATTTATATTTTTGTCATTAATTTACATTAATAATACACCCAAGTCTCAAATATCCAACTAATTATTAATATTAGGTATAATACTTCCAAGTGAAAATGATCTCATGAAAAGTGATTTCAAATTAATATAGTCGTAAAAAAAATTACATTAAATGACTGTTTTTACATGTTATATAGGTAGGTACTTAAAAGTTTGTATGGCAAATTAGTATTTAATATTTGGTTATCGAAATCTGAAATTAATTGAGTGTCTCGCGAGCGGCTTTCTCATAAATTCGTTTATTTTCCGGATTGATGCTCCACGAGTGGGGTCGTGACTCGTGAGCTAGGTTGACCCACAGTCCTAAAAACCTGGAAACTCCCTCGTACTTATCTATATACAATACCCAGTATAGAATTTTACATTTATAATATCATTATAATTATGTACTCTGTACTTGACTTCACCACGCGTATACTGCCGTACATGACCATCATCCGTATTAGTAGGTATATCTAAACGTGTGTTTGATTCGAATACGATCGACATCCTCTAGCAATGACTCTTATGTGGCTTAGTGATATACACAAGCATAGGGGGGTTGATGAGGCTAAGCCCCCTCCCAAAAGTCCGTTAAGACTTTTTGGACTTTTTCCAACAGTTATTGTGAAGGAACAAAGCCCCCACGATTTAGGTTTTTTTGAAAAACAAGAGCCCCCTTCCCCAAATAATTTCAACGGATTGTCGCTTATGTACACAAGTGGTAAATACTTACATCGTAAGCCGTCCCAGCTTTCGAAGTGAACCATTAATTATTTCATCGGTGTATTGAGTTAAAAATGTATACAGGTATAATATATACAGTTTGAAATAAAATATTAATAGTTTACTACTGTACTAACTGCATTATGTGATGAATAAATCGTATATATTATGGTGTTATATTGGAAGTGATGGCCAATAGCCACTATCACACGTCAACTGCATTTGAATTATGATATAGGTCTGCATAATACATACATCTCGGCTACCTTATGTCCTCATCGTTAAGTCATAAAAAAATGTTTAAATGTTTTTATTCAGAATTGTATACTATGACTATTGTGCAAAATACTGCAGCGCGCGGTCGATATTAGGTTATTAAGTTTATTATTATGCACCGTATACAGTAAAAAGTTCCTTTAAGTCTTCAAAACATAGGTACTATATATAATTTGTAAAATAATATCAATTGTAAATATATAAATATTGTCGTGTTATTTTTTAATTATATTCTGAGTATTTTTATTTCCACGAGTAATTCTCGTATTATTTAACGTAATATTAATTACGTGTATTTGGTACTTCAAAATCAAAAGTCTACATTAATATATTTTGGTACATATAAAAAGAAATATGTGTTATAACTTTTTAAGTTTATAACTAAATAACGTAAGACAAATATTTTTCTCATTAATTTTAAATTATTATAATATATGCTTTAAATTAATTTACAATGAGTATATGTGTCTGTAATAATAATAATAGCAGTACATAAAAGGCAAGTTAGAATCAAATCAACCAGCTGTAATATTTTTCTTGAACCATGTTCACAACTATTTTTCGTATTATGTGATAATATTTATGTTTTTAAAATACACAATACTATATGAGCTAAAAGGCCAAACGCTGTGTGACATAAAAAATCATTTTTACAGGAGAGCAGATTTAAAATTTAAAATTATTGTACACCAAATAATTGTGTTGTAGATTTTTGTTTTCCGGTCTTGCAACTTATTTATTTGTAAAATATTCTGTAGATTAAATAAATTATTACTCTCAAGTTTTAGCTCTTAATTTTTTTTTCAACGTAATTTTAATTTTCTTTTAAAATTAAATGGGACTTATTATAAATGCCAATTATAGTATATTTTTACCGTGGTCATACGAGGTTTATTGAAGAACATACTAAAAATTGCTAATTAAATAAAAACTCTAATTAGTTAATAATATAAATAGTTAAAATGTACTTTAGACTAATTTTCTGATATACTAAATTAAATACTCGTATGCATGTGTACTCGCGGCAAAAAGGTTGAAAAATGACTAGAACTTTTTATTACTGCCAAAAATAAAAATTAGCCTTTTTCATCAAATTTATTTAATATTTAATGCTTATTATTTTATGCTAATTAAAGACATCAAATTTTTAAATGTAAGAAATATATATATATATGTATTATATATAATCATTGTTATAATTTAAAATTTGTATTGAATATAAGTCACCGACAATTTCTAAAAAGAAAATTATTTTATTTCATCAATTCTTCAGCAAATGTGTAATAATATAACAAATACAAATAAATAATTAAAGAAAAAGTATAGTTTACCCATCAAGTAATAAAAACAAAATACTGTCGGGAAATTAAAGCTAATTATGAAAAATAAAAATAAAAGTATACTCCACTCATTATAGTAAAAATGAATATTCAAAATAAATAAATAATATCGTATCTAAGGTACTGCTGGAATTCATGATAGTAATATTACTTTTATTATTTGAATTAATTATATTATCTATTAACCTGTTAAAATTTAAAGTATAAACTCACAAGACTTAAGACACAACAAAAGCACAATAAGTCATTGAATAAAATGTTTTTGACAAGAATAACGAGTACGGACTTAGAACATGGTAAAACATTTATTGTATGTCTCATTAATTTAGGGCTTGTTATAATTGTGCACTAAAAAAACATAAACCTAAATTTTTACCGTTTTTAATTACTATACGTCGGTTGTTATATTTTGTATTTTTTGAAACAGAAAATGCATTGCTACATGGAATGTCGATGGTACTAAGATATTCATACCATTAATAATTAAAACATTGGATTTCTTTGAATCTTAGTAGAACATAGAAATAAATGTATATCAATATAAACTTATAACCTGTTTATATGGAATCTGAAAAATCAATCAGTGATAATTTTACTATCAGATATAGACTACAATGATGCGTGTGCAATGTACATGTATATTGACATATTGTATATTTATATATATATATATATATATACAGGGCGTTCCAGATAATAAGACAATAAACTTAATACTAGGTACGATATATGTCATATGATAATATTCACTAATAATTATGTTGATTTATTACTAAACTATTTTCTATAAACATTGAGTAGTAAATTAAAATGTGCAATGTTGAAATGCAATTGATAAATACTAACATGTTTGAAATAAACAAAATTAAACATTTTAAAAACGAGACAACTATCTAATTAAATAATAATTCATGTATAGAACGTTAATGTATAATACATTATATAATATTGTATAGGTAGTTTTTTGGTGAAAAAACCGCTGTAGTTGTTACAAGGATGCATTTTATTTGATCTCATATTCTCATATAAGTACTAATGGTGTGGCGCCGAACCCATGTATTAAAGGGGCAACCACCCATTCTTGCAGTTGGAGGTAGGTGTGTTGATGAATATGTGGTAAGTAAATCTGAGTATTGAATTTTGGGAATAATATTGTTCATTAGTATCTCTTTAGATTAGTGCGTATATGTATGATGCCATTGTAAATAATAACACAAAATATAGCTATTCTAATACCAAAGCCCTATCATTTTAAATGATATTTATACGTAACTGGCGTAGTAAATAAAAAAAATCTTTCCCTATCGTATATTCCAAATTACCAGACACTTGTGTGCGTCCATCAGCATATTATATCCCAAACTTACAGCGCACTATTCTCTACTCACGGCAGGCAATGCTGTAGATTTTTATATTTAACATGTTGACTGCCATGAGACACTTATATGGCTGGTCAATCGAAATTTGGCAAAATGTTTAAGAGGAAATTATAATGGTTTTGTTGATCATAATAATATCATATGAATACTGTACGTATATTATATTGTAATTGTATACCAAATATTTCTGGTACACACGTGAAGACAATAAGACATAAACAATTAGTATCATCGAATTAGTCACTCAGTGACGTAATTTCAGTTTTAAATATAAAGGGGCAACCGTTTTGACCAGCCCAAATGAGTTAACATAAAAAACCCTATCACTTCTCTGGCAAGCAAATAATATATATTTTCTACTTACATTATATTTTACAAAAATAATTGCACGTTCAAGTTAAAGCTCAGTAAACTAATATTTTTTAATGTTGTAATATAGTCTTTTTATTTTTTTAATTGTTGGATAAGTTTTGAGAAATTTCTTATCAAATTATAAAATATTAGATATAAAAATAAAACATTTCTTAATTTCTAACTCAAAATAATTAGCCATTATCGTGAATCTTTTATTACATTTTCAAGATATTGATGAGCCAAAAATGTATCGGCAATAGTTAAAAAAATTAATAACCTAACCAAAAATATCTTATGCCAATAAGTAGCTTATAAAGAGTCAATTTATTTTGAAAATTTATGGTGAATAATCCTCATAATTGTTCGTTGAAAATGTATATTTGATAATTGTAGCATAATTTTAATGATTTGTAGTGAAATTATATTCAATTATATAAACAATTTACATTTTTTTGAAAAATAGACAAGATTCAAAAAAATATGAAAAATTACACAAAGTAAAGACACTATAAGTATAGCATTAGCGTGATATGGAACTTTATTACTCGGTGGAATAGTCACAAAAAAATTATCGAAAAAAATGTTTTATTCACTAATTCATTCTCTTCTTCTTAGTTATAAATATTTATACATGGTTTTTCAGATAACATCTAATATTAAGAGGTCATGAAAGTAAATTATTCATTATAACATGCTGCTACCTAATAATATGGAATTAAAAAACTGAATAATTGAATAAAACAGTATAAACATACTAGACAATAATGCACATGGATATTAAAACTTTTGTCCAGTTGTAAAGTCATCGTCCACCTGGCAGTAATAATAGTATATGCTACAACAGTCTTCTCAAGCTTCAAAATAATTTTTTTATGTCAGGTAAAGTTATCGTCATTTAAAAACATAATATTTTGATTCATTACGTGGTTTATCCGGTAGGTATTATAAATAAAAAATAAAAATGTTCTCAACTGTTATCATTTAACTTTACTAAAACTTATCAACAGTTTTTATTTCCATGTTTACCTGTTCTTGCAGTAATTACAATTATTAATTTTTAGGCTTAGTGATACTTCAATCATGCAGTACTCAAATAACATTAACAAAAATGTAACATTATCAAATGTAAACAAAACAAAAAAGCAGTGACAGATTTATTGAAATTGTTTGGTCTATTTATTTATATTATGCATTTTTCTCTTTATGTGCATATTGCACATTTCACTTCTATATCAATTCGATCCTTTTTAAAAACAAATATCAAACAATCAAAAGTATAATATATACAATATTACCGGCCACGTCGATTAGATGGTGAGAAGTGAAGAACTAAATTAAAATTTTTATTGACAAGAATTGTAGAAAAAAACTCTCATCATTGAAATAAATGCGCGCATGTTTCATTATTGCATATCCGAAGCGCCGTATTACATTTTTGTTGTACATACCTCAATAAATTGGTATAAATAATTTTTCTGAATATAGTGCAACCTTTTATTAAGATAATATATATTTCAGCGTTTTATTAAATATGTCTATACTTTATCCATGAATCTAAAAACCAAAATTATTTTAAGTGATTCTGATTTCTGACTACCACATCTAAATATTAGTATCAGGGGATAATTGTCTGTTTAATATGAAATATACTTAATGATTCTATACATATTCCAAAATCATCGCTATTAAGCTGCTATAATATACATTATACATGGATTGTTTTGTTTTGACAAATTTAAATTTAATGTATATTTTTCTACTCACGAAAAGATTACTTTTAGTATGTTTAATGTTTTTAAGTTCGATACTCTGTATAATAAATACTTCTTACTAAATGTCCATTGAAATAAAAATTATAAAATTGAAAATAATCATTTATATGGAATTTTGAATTTAAAAACGGGAAAGTAGATAACATTTATATTTTATAAAAATATGAATTTGATTCTATCTTTGCTACGAATGAACAATTTCAGCCTAATAAGATACTTGGATAATGCAATTTTTCTACTCAAAACCTAAAATTTAATACTATACATTTTTAAAACCTCAATGTACCAAATAGTTTAATTTTGAGTAAAATTGTATGATATCAACTTGGACAATTTTTTATCGTTATTATATTCTTTTTTTCTCTTTTTTGTGATAGTTTTTTTTCTTATAATACTTAAATAAATAACAATAAACAAATATCACAACAATTATTAACTAAATGAGATAAAATACAAATAAAAAAAAAAATGTACTTATTTAATGCCAAACACTACCTATACGGCTATACTGAACATCAGAACAACTATTTTAACCGTTCACATTAAATGATTACACAAGTTTCATAATTATAATATGTTACGTGCTTTAATTCTTTACAGATAGTACCTATCGTTTATATCTTGGGTGATGGAAGATTTTAGAGATGAAGAAGTTGTCATTAACTTGAAACTATTGAAACAATATCGTTTTTATCACATGCTGAAGTTCAATGAGACAAAGATTTTGAACTGTAATGTTTACCGTCTGATATTATTTCTTTACGGATCAATTATGACCTGTATGGTAGTTTACGGTAGTATAGTGTTGTTCGTCGAGATGGATGATATCATAAGTGAGGCTGATCTATTTATTGTCATTTTCCTTACAATCAATTTTTTTTTCTGCGTGTGGAGGATATGCACTGTTTTGAGCAAAAGTAACACCATTTGTGACTTGATAAACGTTTCACGGTTTAATTATCTAACAAGTAAACATTGTTGTAAACATTTAAATGTTCTATACGACTATCGTGAAAGAACGATTAAGATCACCAATTACTTTTTTGTATTCTCGATGATAGTTCTTATGCAGTGGATAATATTTCCAATCTTGGCGATCACGTTCAAGAAATCTGATTTCGAAAATATTCGCTCAGAAAACGTTATGAACTTTCGTTTTCCTGTATCTACACACACTTACAATCAATATTTTTTTATATTTTACATAATGGAAGTAGCGATAGTTACTTTTCCCATTTACTTAATAATCGTAATGGATACATTAGTATTGTCTTTCTGTTGCGTTATAATTGCTCAACAGGAAGTCTTAAGTCTAGCTTTCAGAAACATCGGACACGAAGAAAACTCACAATTGGGTAAGATTTATTGAAACTATTAATTTTATGTTTAACTTATAACGCATTTCTTTATCATGTCAGGAGTGGCAATATCATATTTTTCCAAGTAGCTTAAAATAAAAAGTAAAACAATTTACATTTTTCAGAATTATTATTTATGCTAAATTCAGAATGCAATTTTATACGCCAACCAGTTATAAACTTAATTTCTTTTGCATAATAAAAATTGTTTTTAATTACTTTTACAGAATATTATGAAGATTTTAAATCAGTTCTGGGTGATCAAATTCAACTTAATCTGTAAGTATTAAAACTTGAGAGTAGTCAGTTAATGAAAATTATTTAATGAAAAATGTTACATGATCATTTAACATACCTAAGTACAACATAATTTTTTCATAAAGAAGTCAAGTAGAAAAAGCCAAAGAAAACATATAGGTTTGGCAAATAAAATATAACAATGTTAATACTAGAATGATTCAAGTCATAAGATTTGAAATCATCATCTTAGCTTCAGTATTAATGATAGACTCATATAATCTTTATCTAAAAATATGCACAATAAATTAAAAGTCTAAAACTTAGCGTAAGACTTGACTACTTGTAATGGTAAAATTTGATTATAGTACAATTTAATTAAAATAATGAATTTGGCCGACGCCGATAAAATTCTGAGAGCTATAGATGCTATAATAAATGCTAATAAATGCTATAAAAAAATCGGTCATGGTGGGGGGGCCAACTTCACGCACGTTATGCAGGTGCCTATAGGTAAATTAATAATAGTGACTTCAGCTTGAAGGTAGTATACGTGGGAAATGATGGGGTAAACGAGTTTCTAGTTGATTTTTGAAAACAATAAGATAAACTCAATCGAAAACAAATGAAAACAACTGTTAATATGAATGATAAAATAAAAATTAATATAATAGTCACAAATATCAGTGGTAAGCATATGGAATAACCATATTGAAAAAAAATCTACTCAATACTGAAAACTGAATTTATTTATTGTGTTCCGGATGTCCAAGGAAGATCGAGCACAAATAAATTAAATAGACACTTTCGAACTTATTATTACTTTCTATACTTGAAATTGAAAAAGAACACTTACAAATTACAATACAATATTAATGATTAATATAATATTATATAATATGATCTGACAAAATAAATGATCTGTTGATAACAACAATGTTCTGCCGATATTACTCTAAAATTCAACTGACACGACTTGCAATGCGAGCCAGGCCTGTAACCAAGCCGTTTGCCTAGAATTGCTGTCACAGCAAATCCTTCCTGCAGACAGTCACCGTTCTACAATATTTACACTATTCTATAGCATGCTTACTAATATAATCAAAGATTTTTAACAATTATATTCAATTAGAAACATTAAAATAAAATATATTACTTTAAGTAATAACATTTACATTTTTCATTTTAATCGTGATATTGATTGGTGGGGTTAATTTGGCTGTTTAGAAGACCTTAGTCTCCCCTCTCCCCTAAGAGCCCCCCTCTCCCCCTTAGCTGCTCTTAGATTTATAGTCAAATTATGTTTACCAGACCAATTACATCACATCTTCAACACACTCAATTAAGTTAAATTTTTTTTTTTGATTCATTATTAATATTGAAATCAATACCGATATTACTGGTTCATTAAGTTTACCTATATGACTCAAATATGTTTTTTTTATAAAACGACTCATATTGTCTAGAATTACTTTAATAAGCATTAGTTAGTCGTTACTTGTTAATTTATCCTTTATTTTAATACCTACGTTTTCAAAAATTGATAGTAAGAAAAATAAATTATTTTTAAAAATCAAAAAATCATAACAACTTATGTAGTTCCACAACAACGAAAAATAAGTTGACTCAAAATATAAAATTAAATGTTAACCTATCATATTATAATTATAAGACGGCATCATTATTGACGTGTTTTAAAAATAGTTTTCTATAACTTAAATTAGTAAGTTGTAATGCATTATTTATAATTCGCATGAACCATTGAATGCAATATGTTTACTAAATTTTAGTCATTGAACGTAATATTGAATTATATTTTAATTACCAAAATAGTTCAAGATGTTTGACTTTAATATCATGTTATTTTAATAAAACCTATCTTTTTTTTTAGGAAAATTAAATCATATTATTCACTAATGAGGAATATTATTTTAGTACAAGTTGCGATGTCTTCAACATTTTTCATAATGGTGGCATATGTGTTGATCGTGGTAAAATTTTTAATTTAAAGTTTATTATAATACGTACGTTTCTTCAGCACCACCTCCCCCCCCTCCATTTTGAATTTCATAAATTTTAGATATTTAACTTACAAATTAGGGAGAATTAGAGTGACTGGTTTTGAAATTTGTGCGGCACTAGATCAAGTTTAAAAATGAAAATATGATGGGGAAATCAGTTTTTCATCTTTCGGGAGGGGCTGAGGAAATAGCAATAAAATGAAAACTCTCCTGGTACTTAAAAGCTTGAATACTCCATTTCAAAATAGGTAACGCAAATTCACGCTAATTGCTTGCTAATTATTGAGGTGGGAAAAACCACTAAAAATTTAGACTATGAGGGTAATGGAGAAAAGTTTCTATACTTCTTTATATAAATGTAGGTATCCTACTTGGAATCCAATATTTTGTCATCACCGTGTTCATTAGTCAAACGATCCACTATAAACTTTTGATATTTAAATTCTATTAAGACATTTTTCATTTCATAATCTGGAGCAAAATTATTTTCTAAATATATCGATGTATAAAATATATAGGACAATGATCGAATGGTTTATTATTATCAGCTGTTAAGCTGATAGAGTCTAGTTGAAATAATAAAATGTATAGAAAGTTGTCTGAAATCTTCCATGGTACCCTTTATTATCACTTCAGTATCATACTATATTACTATCATTCAAAATTCCAAATGCATAGTATGCATAAAAAAATATTGCTGTACGATACTTAACATTTTATACGTGAATATTTTCATTGCAAATATTGGCAACCATTTATATATGTGTAAGTTTATAGTAATTTTTACCAAGACGTAAGTATATGGGTGTAAAATAAAAAAAGGTTAGTGTGTAATACTGAATATAATCATTAATATATGATTTCGTTTTTTTTTAAAGGTTTGCTTTTCAAAGGATTCAAATCAAATTCTTACTATTATCAAACTCGGTTCATCAGTCATCTTTATTGGTTCAGAGATTTTTTTATATTGTTATTTATTTGGCAGCATGAATCTTAAAGTAAATCGTTATTGTTCACAAAGCTTTGACTTTATTTGAATACATATTTTTTATAGAGAGAATCTGTTAACTTTTCTCTATATTCTTGTGATTGGACGAAAATGGATAACAAATTTAAAAAGTTATTATTACTAACAATGCGGATGAATAATGCTAATAATTTGATGATTAAAGCTTCACCGAAAAAAGTCGTCGACTTACAAATGTTTGCTAACGTAAATTAGTGTTAATGTTAAAAAAATTACACAGTACATATTTTACACACACCTGCCTACTTAAATACAAATACACAATATGACTAATGTTGTTTCAGGTCATATCGATTGCTTACAATGTTATTTCTGTCATGCTGAAAAGCATGGATTCAAATAATTAAATTACAGAATAAATCTTATATTTAAAGTTAAATTTATGTAGGCAACATTAAAATATCTATAGGAACTACAGTGTAGATTCTGCACCATTCTATATATATATAAGTATTTTATTGAAAAATGTAGTCATTCGAATTCAGTTTATTATAAATAGGTAGGTAGATTTTTGACAACAATTTATTTCAAGATTTGTTGTATAATATATTATACACAGAACCTAATTTGATTAAATCACTATCATCCCATTTTTATGTTCAAACTATGCAATTATCAATATTTTAAATTTTCACATTTGGAGTATTCTCAAAAACCCTATTTGAAAGTACATTGTTACTTACTACTTAGCCAATTAGATAATATTATACAAAATATATTATATCATTTTTGTGTTTTTACTTTTCATTGTATGATCGTAATTGTTAATTGTTTGATATTGTGCAAATTAATGAATACAAATAATTACTAGGTAAACTTTTAATAAGTACTATAATATTGTAGTATTCAATTCAAAACTAAACAGTGTTTCGTGTTATGTCTTAATTTGTAATTCCTGTATAATACTTAAAATCAATCATCGGTTGATATAGGTGTTAACTAGATAATAGATACCATAATATTTTAAATGTTTCGATTTCAAAAATCATTAATCATAATTTGTAAAACAAATCGTTTAATATGTTTTGTATATTTGTATTATCATTTATTATTATCATAATTTTTTATTTTACGCAGAACTGGGCTCTAACCTATCATTCAAATTTAGTATACTTGTATTATTATTTATTTTTTTGTTAACAGCTGTATCCACATTTAGGTATAGTCTTGGGGATTTTATTTCGAGGGATTTTTTTGCCGATTACAACTATTATGTATACTAATATTAAGTGTTTTTAAATTACGTATATAATTGTATCATGATTGAAATTTTTTTAATAATGAGGATTGTTCTAGAATTACCTACATACTCATAATGTTAATAAACTGTAAAATACATAGTGGTACATAAATACATCGTATTCAATTATTTTAGCACAAAAATATTGTGTAAAAAAAGTTGAAAGTGGTACTCACACTACAAGACCCTCAATAAATGTATGACTCTTGAATCTATACCTTTAAATAAGGAAAAAATTACCCAACATAACATAGAATAAATATATTTACTAAGTATTTTTTTTGTTGAGTAAATGTAGTAGGTATATCAAGTCAAAATATTTGATTATCAAAAAGTATTACGTGTGTGAAGTCACCCCCCCCCCCCAAACTTTAACCCAGGAACTTCAAACCACTAAAATTGCTATTTATTTGCTAAAATTTGGTATGAAGTTTTTAGAATTTACATGGTTTTGATTTTCCCAGAAAAGATTATTTTACTTGAGGGGGGGGGGATCTGACCTTAGCCACCTCACTTTAACATAGGAACTTAAAATTTTGCATGGCTCATCTTTATTCACCTACTCATTCGAACCTGGTATCAAACATTTATATTCAACTAAGATTTTAGATGAAGAATATTTATTATTTATTTAAAATTTTTTTTACTAATTATGGATTTGTATTATTACAACTTTTATTAATTAAAGTTAATTTATTAAAATACATTTGTTTTTATTGATTTAGGCATTTAATCCAATTAAGAATATTTTTTATTCAATTTAGATTTTTTTTAGTATTATATTTTTTAATAATTTAGGTTTTTTATTTAAGTAAGAATAATCTTTATCAATTTTAAATGTATTATTAATTTATGCTTTTTATGAGTATTATATTTTTTTTTATTGATTAAGAATTTTTGTTAAATTTTATACTCAAATTACGTTTTGATTTTAAAATGAGATTTTTGTCCTCAACTTGACTTTTTAGTGAAATAAGGTTTTCAATTCATCGTCCTTTTTCATTCTAGTTATATTGGCTTATTAAATATCGAATATTTTTTTTTTTGTTAATTTAAAGAAAAAAAAAGTTGAAAAAAAAAATCAATTAAATTTTAAAATAGTCAGAAGGTTATCCTATAAAATAGCTACTCGGTCTCACACTCTCACCATATGTTGGTAGTTAGATATGCAATTGTAGAATAGAAGTGAAGTTAAACGTCTGTCGACGTCGTTTCAATTGGTCTATATTTACTATTTACAGCCACAGACAATATAGTATCAAAATAAACAGCCAATAACATGTTAATGTACATAAGGGCAAATAAGGTGAGTAGGACAGTCAATGTTGTTAACTCATAATATAATAGCACATTGATGTTGCATATTGAAAAATAAAAATAAAAAATAAAATAATAATTTGAAAAAAAAAATTATTCGAAAAAAAATATAATAATTTTGAAAAATAAAAATTAATTAAATTTCAAAATGTTTATTTTTAATTTTTTTTTTCAAAACATTTTTTTTTTTAATATACAACATCAATATACTATTATATTATGAGTAGTTAACTAGTTGTTAACATTGACTGACCTACTCACCTTATTTGCCCTTATATACATTATCATGTAATTGGGTGTTTATTTTGATAGTATATTATCTGTGGCTGTAAATACAGACCGATTTGAACGACGCCGACAAACGTTTAACTTCACTTCTATTGTACAATTGCATATCTAACTACCAACATATGAGCAACCGATGGTGAGACCAAGTAGCTATTTTATAGGATAACCTTGTGACTACCGAGTACAAAACCAAAAACTCAAAGTAATATAATGTAATTTATTGAATTAGAAAAAAAGAAATATGTATATATTACTATATATGCATATACATAGTATATACCTATGTAATATGAAAGGTAATGAAGACAATAAGTCAATAACACTGCCTTTTCCTGAATATTTTGTTAAAAAAGAAGAGATTATTACTACAGGTATACACTAATATATACGAATACATAAATTATAAAGTATTGTACATAAGTTTATTACATATCTTATTAAGTATTGTCTTTTTTATGTTTATTTAAGTACAAATGAACCACATAACAGAGCATACTTTAAACAACATAAGAACAGTTCAACGTTGTTGATTGAATGTACATTATAAAATATCCAGTATAATATTCATGTTCAACAACGCTATACATCGGCAAGTCTAAAATTTACACAAATATAACTTATTTAATAAAAATAAACAGTTGATGTAAAAGAAATAGCTCTGTGTGTGAATTATCTATTTGCTAATTTGATATAATTCACATAAATTCACTCAATTAAATTAATTTAATAGTTAAAGAGATAACATTATTATGTGAATGTTGTCTTACTATGTTGATTTAAGTATTAATGTACCACGTAACAGAGGATACATTGAACTATATAAAAACAGTTGAACGTTGCTCATTAAAATAAAATCCAGTAAAATATTAAATTTGTGTTCAACAATGTTCAACATTTACAATATCTATACATCAGTGATCAGTCAGCCTAAAAGTCAATTTAAACTACCTTAGGGATGCGGCAATCAATATCGCAAATAATTCAATATGATATGGACAGATTCCATATAGGGCATATCAGAGAGCCTTAATGTTTGCCTTATTATTAAGGCCCTCTAGAGCATATAGCTTGTTGGCATAATATAGCATATTAATAGCATGTGCCATGTGGTTGCGCCATATCATTCGGAGCCATCACTTTTCATGGCAATAGCTGCATTGCCGCGTAATCCCGCGTAATCCCGCGTCCGACGCCGACGAAGGTTGGCTGCACTGGTGATCGCACCGGATAGACGCGACTGGCGCCCGGGCGCCACAAGCATACAGCTGCTGCAGTGTGAGCCGCGCTTAGTGCGCATTGTCAGTTCGCCACTTGCCGCCGTCACGATTCCCGCATTCGCGATCTTCATTCCTCGCCCCCCGAACACAGTCAACCGTCCGTTGCCGCTAGTCACAACCGCTTGGTGTTACATTACTACTGTACGCGCGACCGACTGCTGCAGCCGCCCGCCCGCGTCTCGTTGTGTTTCGAACGATTTCGTGATCTGCGCAGCCGACTCATCATCAAGGTACGGAGTAAAGTTTCGGAATTCAGTAAATTGTCGCGCCGGCAATTGATAACCGCTACGGCAACGACAATAATATTATTATTGTTGTCGATAATCAATCGTCCCGCTCACTGCCGCATTTGTGTGTGTGTGTGTGTGTGTGTGTGTGTGTGGCGTGTGTTCACCAATACATCACTTCATCCGACACTCGACAGACGCGATGACGGACAGCATACGCGCTTAGCTCTCGAAAGCCCTCAGAGTCTCTCCAGGTCGACGCCGTCGATTTTACGTCTTATTCGTCCCGTTGCGGATAAGCGTCGGCGCGCACTATCGTCGTCTACTGTTCGTTGATCGGTACATATTTAATGGCCGCGAAGATGAAGCTGGTCGACAACGTCGTGCGCAGCTTCAAGGTGGCCAAGGTGTTCCGCGAGAACACGGACAAGATCAATAGCTTTGACTTTTCGCCTGCCGGCGATTACATCATATCATGCAGCGAAGACGACCAGATCGTCATCTACGACAGCCAGAAGGGTGAGCTGTCCAAGACCATCAACAGCAAGAAGTATGGCGTTGATCTCATACATTTTGCGCACACCAAGACTACTGCCATACACAGCTCGACCAAAGTCGACGACACCATCAGGTATTATATGTTGGCCAACCAGCCACCTCCTCACACAATCGGTGCCTTGTTTGCTAAGGTTATATTTTGACCAATTATTATACTTAAATTTATTGTACTAGACAGCGGACGCTCGCTTGAGTAGTTGAATATTATAATTTTCGGTCAACATCAATAGCGACTAGGTCTCGTCCGTAATGTTTTAATATTTGCTTCATAGCAAATGTTTATACCTTATAATGTAATTTAATATTAATATGTTATTTTTACTTTACTACATACCAACTGTAAATTTATGTATTCTTATATTGCACTTTGGCATTCTCAGGTGTTTTTCAAAATATAGAAAAAAACTAGCTACTTAGGTAGGTATTATCAATATGTAAAAGATTTCACTTTGATTACCTTGTACTTACAAAGTATCCCCTACCTATTTAATTTTAATCAAATCATTTATTAAGCACATCTGAAAACAATGTTTGTCAAATGTGAAGTAGCAACTATGTGCTGTTTAAGTATATACTGTTGACATGTATGTAAAAATTCAGTTTCTGCGTTGGTATAACAACAAACATGACCAAAATTACCAGTGTAAGGAATATAATAATTAGAAATCTCTTAAAGAATATAGTTAATTATACCATAAATAGTTAAAATAATTATTCTTTATTTTTAACAAGGTAGTACAAACTTAAATTTAAAGCATATCTACCTAAATAATATGTTATGTACTAGGTAGCTTATTTTAAATCAAAGTCTACCTATACTCTCCCCAAAGAGAACAATCACTCTAACACCAGAAAGTTAGTGAGAGATGCTTGGAACTGATGTAAATCGGTTGACCGACTGTTTGTTCTCTTTTAAGACCAAGTATACCTACCTTTTAAGTTCAAAAATATAGCATGAACTCACCAGAAAACAAACTACAAAAAAATATATATCTTGGTGTATAAAAAATGTATGCAATTTCAACACTTAAAAAAGTTTGAAACTTTTCTACTTTACCGGCAACCTTTTTTTGTAATTTTTTTTTTGAACATGGTAGTTGTTAATCATACTGAAAATGATGGTTAGTCAGTATTTGGCACTTGGATTTAGTTTTGAAGTTAATAGTATTTTCATTTATATGGGTACACGTTCATGCAATTATCACTAGTTGAATATTGTTACGCAGTGGAATTATTAATCATGTTCAACCTAGCATACAGAAATCAAAACTCGCCTGGGACTGATTTTGCATTTTTTAAACAAATTTAGTGATAGGTTGAACATTTTTAGTTGAAGTTAGATAAGTAATTTCTCCCTACACCTGCTGGCTCCAGTTGCCATGGGTGTCCTAACCTTGATTTAATATATGAAAAAAGGGCACATCGTTAAAAAATAAAGACCAAAGTATCAGTTAGGTTTGGTCTTTAAAAATCAAGAAAATATTTAAAGGCCTTGCTGTAAATATTTCAAAATTTAACAATATTTAAATGTATAAGTAACTACGTACCTACCTAAAACCTAAATACAAATATTTTAAATAAATTGGATTAAGGTACCTATTTTTTTTATTTTTAGATATTTATCATTACATGATAATAAGTACATTCGCTATTTCACGGGACATGCCAAAAAAGTTGTATCACTATGTGTGTCTCCTATTGAAGACATGTTTGTTTCTGGGTCATTGGACAAAAGTCTCAGATTATGGGATTTGAGATCACCCAATTGCCAAGGTTATATCAATGTTATGGGAAGACCAGTTGCAGCTTTTGATCCTGAAGGTTTAGTGTTGGCTGCTGGCATTAATTCTGAAACTCTCAAACTGTTTGACGTTAGGTAAATTAATTTTTGTTCATTTGCATTGAATTAAATAAGGATCTTTGGCTAACACCTTTAATTTTAGATCATTTGACAAAGGGCCTTTCATAACTGTGAAGCTTCCTCAAGAGAAAGAATGTGACTGGACCGACCTCAAATTTAGTCAGGATGGCCGAACCATACTTATTCCTACTAATGGGTCTTTAATTAGATTGATAAATGCCTTTAATGGTACTCCGATTCAGACTTTTACTGGTCACCTGAATAATAAAGGCATTCCTATTGAAGCATCATTCAGTCCAGATTCTCAATACATATTCAGTGGTTCAACTGATGGTCGTATTCATGTATGGAATGCGGTTACTGGCTATAAAGTTTGTGTTCTCAATGGTGATCATCCAGGTCCGGTACATTGTGTTAAATTTAATCCCAAATACATGATGATGGCCTCCGCATGTACAAATATGGCATTTTGGTTACCTACAGCTGATGAGTTAGCCAATTTGGCATAAGTCAAATATTAATTCTTTGGATGTGCATTTGACTTACATTACCTAAGTACAATGTACTTATATAAAGTTAAAACATTTTAATTATTGATTTTCCTATAATTTAAGTTAACTTATTAACTTTTATTCAGTTATTTGAAAAGAATAAATGTATTTATTTTTTATTTTTAATCATTTTTAGTTAATGAGTAAACACTCCTTGATGTAAAAGTCAGTTATTTTGTTTTACTACTCCTTTTGAATGATTGATGCATTTGACAAATTTTGATTTTTATACTTGATTTAAGGTTATTTATTAATTAAGTTATGAAATGTTTAGAATGAATTGATGTTTATTAGTCCTGATCTTATATATTATATTATTATATGTGTGTTATATTTAAGATTAAGAATTTTCTTGCAAATGTCTTATTTCTTTCTAAATTAACTGCTGAGTTTCATTGTTACAACATCAATATTACTTTTGATTATTGGATTATTGGTGATATTTTATTGAGCAACGTCAAATCCAATAATATAAAATATAAATGTGTAGTAATTTTAATCTGACAGATATCTTTTTAACTGATGATCTCAAAAAGAATTTCACAGGATTATCAGTTAGCGGTTTGACATTCAGCAGTATTGGCAATGTTTTAATACTTGCTATTTACCAAATTGACATATTTTTAAAAACATAATGCTCATTGACATTTATGACCAGTCAGTACCCTAACTAATGGTGCTTTAAAACATTTAAATTTAATTCAGACACATAATACCCACAGATAATTGAATTGCTTTTTAATGTAATAAAAAAATCATAATGTATTATGTTTTAAACAACTAAAAGTAAAATTGAATATTTATGTAATTACTTATATCTGGTGTTTGACCAAAAACTATGATTAAAGATGATAAAAGTTTTGAATATATTATATTTTTTATTTTAATAAATAAATAATTGTTGAATTTGTGAATCTTTAGAGAATGTTAGCACAATATTTATTTTCTTTCTCAGACCTACAATATAGATACAAGTAAAATTGTTTTTTGTGTTTACTGAGTAACTTTAGATTAAAATCGCCTATTACAAAAATTACAGAAGATAATGTTTTTGAGGGTTTGGCATAATATAAGTTTTATGTGTTATTGTTATTTGATTTAAAAACAACTTTTATAAATGTAAAATTTATACTTTTTATAAATTAATGGATATTAAATTATTTTGAGACACTATTTAGACAAAACGAAATGTCATACCCTCAAAAACATAAAAATGCTTTTTATGAGAATCTTTTTTGTCTAAGTCGTGTGTGGGTCGGTAATAAGAAAGAAAGTACAATCTGTGCTCTTACATCCTTTCAAGTAAATTTGATGTTACAACAAATAAAGTTTGACTATGAAAAAAAAACTAGTTTGTGAATGTAATCACACTCCATGACTATTTTTTTTATTAGTTATAACTTATAAAATATATTTTTAATTATTCTATTATAACAATTAACAACTCATAAAATAAGTGACAAATTCAATAATTGTATATTTAATAAAATTCATGAATTTTAAATTATTAAGTATGATGTTTTATCTTAATCTGTTATAAACACTGCTTATGTCATTTGAACTTGTAAATAATCTGAAAACTAATATTCTAAATTGTATGTTGTATTTAATGTGTTTTTTGTTAAGAAGGCTCCACTTATCGATTTGTTATCTGTGAAAATCTTATATACATCATTCTAAATTTAATTGTTGCAGACAACCCTAAGGCCATTAGGTTGTATGGTATTAAACTATCGTACATTGATTATTTGAATGCCTAACCGATAATACTCTATAAATAAATCTATAAATTAAATCAAAGGTCAGTTTAAAACTATAATTTGTTGTGTTTCTAATGCATTACACACATCATACATAACAAATTGATATGTTCTGTCCTCTTTAAGTAATACAAGTTACTATTATTTTAATATACAACTATTATGTATTAATTTATAATTATTTATCAAAGTTTAAGAGTAACAAAAATTATATTGAATAAAGAAATCGTGGAACATCAGCGTTGTAATAATTGTGTTAATATTATAATAATAGTTTAGTACCTACTTTATATGTTTTAATTGATATTTATTTTGTCAATTATTTATTTTTATTTTTTAAAAGATTTTATTGTATTTATTAATGCAAGAAAGAAAAATCCTTCGTGTTAAACTAAATTTTGAATGAAAACCATTTTTTTTAATGATTTTATATGGTATGTTGAATATTAAATTCTGAATAGTTTATCCGTAGTAGTATGGTCTATAATTTTTTAGGCCTAAATTTTTATACAATACTTTAATTCTATAAGTTAAAATGAAATGTGTATACCAGATATTACCTAATTATTTAAAAGGTATCGTTAAAGTTTATTATTTTTTTAAATGTTTTTTTATTTAAAATCAGTATTCTTGAATGTTGTAATTTTCCATTAAATATATCATATCATGTTCTTAACATAATATCAATTAAAAAATAATTTTATGTTATACAAGCAAAAAAAGAATTTGTTTGCTAAAGCTTATAATGTAATAACTAATAACCATTTTCTTTGTCATTCAATGGTTTAATTTTAAAGTTGTCTTACATATGGGCGCTATTTTTATAACTCGCTATTATTCAAATGAATGCAATGTTATATATAATCGGTTGATGTATAATTTTTCCAAATTTCAATTGGAACATTATATTACTGGTCGTTTATTATTAATCATTATTCATCAAAAACAAAAATAATATACATGTATCTTTCATGTTGATAATTTTAGAATCTAGAAACATCATTATGTAAGTTTAGATAGTGTTAAGTAAAAATAAAAAAAAATTAACAATATGCCATTATTACATAATAATGTGTGCAATTTGTTTGTGTAACGTAAAATACTAAAATACTAAAATGCAAAACCCATATTATCTAGGATAAGTTTTAAAAATGAGTATTGTTGGAATGTATTTATGGAAATATTATCATAATAAAAGAAAATGTATTATATTCTTTTTAATTATTTGTTTTAACGAATAGAGCTGTAAGATTTTGTTGATAATTTGTTGAAAAGAATGATAAATTAACAGCGGTGTATTTAGGCCGATGTCTGAACGCCAACCCATATTATTGTGACAATGTTGGGTTCTATTTTGCCGAGAAATAACATCCGACAGCTATTATATTTTTAACTTCTAATGTTGTAAAACTGCATTATCATACCTGTAAATAATTTAGTCTTCTATTTTTTCGCGGTACCGAATCCGACTAGGTGATTGGCTGGTATCTGTCGTCACGTGGTTGGTGGACCACTATGGCATCGAATCGTATTTGGCGGTTGCGGGTATGAATAGGCGGAGCCTGTTTAGTTTACGCCCAATTGTTGCTTACGCGGGGTAACATGGCCACAAATGAGGAAGCGCTATTGGTCTAGATATTAATTTAGTTTATCTTGCCGAAACATCTTGTTTTCAAAAAAAAAAAGGGGGAGTAAACATCGATTCTGCTGGCTGCTGTTCATATTAACATTGATTTTATAATATACAGATGAGCCATAGCATATGAGTTTTCGGTGACAATAATTATGATTTATGATCCATTGCGGACATACCTATTTAATTAATCATAGTAGATACGTTAATATTAATTATTTATTTATTTGAATATTCAGACGGATGGATCCAGTTACAATTATTAAAGACGTCTATAGGGCTTACAATCAAATAATATGATGTAATATAATTTTTTGTTATTGCAATTAATATTGAGTAAAAAATACAGTACAGATAGTAATGTAATTAATAATATGAATAATTTAGTTAAGCATGGTGTGTGATATTGTTACATTTAAAATCGAAATAATTCACAAAATAAAATGACTAAAAATGAAATTTATAGCAAAAAAACTTAACTTAATGAGATATTTATGTCATGATCTAAGGTTTGCATTAAATGCAATGTAAAATGATACAGCGAACCTCGCGGCCGATGGCATAATTTGAATCACAGAAAACTCCTATGCCATCATTTCGTAATGGCTTTTCTGTACATCATTCATGCATAGTATATTTCGTCCATAGACTCCACAATTCAAGATAAACAGGTTACTCAAAGCAGTAATATTTTTGTTACCCAGTTTGTGTACTACTATAGTAGAAGTAATAGTAAAAGTGGCCCTCGAAAGTGGCTTAGCTAGTGACGCTATTTCAGAAAAACATTGGTTCTCCACTTTGGAGGGTATAGAGAGCCGGTTATTAATGAGTAATTGATTTAAGTTTGCCGCGCCTTGTTCGGCACATGTTCAGTATAGCCACTCCGTAAAAACATCCACCAGTCAAGCTAACATGGCCACCTTTGCTGAAAACTACCATATACAAGCAATGAGTGTATGGAAAGCGTAACAACCAACAACATTGAGGACGCTGTTTGATTACTCTATTGACGATGAAGATAAGGTGACACGGCTTCTGTATCGGCTTTCAGTGGTACGATTTTGACATAAAAATCACGGCAGTTTGATAGTTCAGAATTTATCACCCGAGTACGCCACCATTCGTATATGGGATGGCAGACTTTTATAAGAGTCTTAATGGAGATTTATATTTGAATTGTATTTAAGTGTATAAATTGTTGTTGAAATGTCAATAATCTGCTTGCCAACATAATATACTTAATGTTATATTGTATAGATGATGAAAATAAACCAATGTTTTGGAATCATGTACTAATTATTATGTAAAAATCGTAATAATATTACATGATAATAATGTATCCTGCATATTGTACCAACAAATTTATTTATTTAAATAAAATGTATATTTATTGTATGATATGTATATGTTTGTTTATGGATTGATACATATATATATACCAAAAAGAAACTAGTAATACCTACATACAATAGGTATAAGGTACGGGTTATAAATTATAATACTGTTAATAAAAGCTCAAATAAACTACTACTTTTTTTTCTCAATTTTATTTTGTTTATAATGTAATAGGTAATACAAAAAGGGTTTAAAAATAATTTATTTAAATATGAACAGTTATTTGTTTAGTGTGAGTTTTGACCATGTGCGGCTTCTAATGACATCCCGGCAAAATCCGACTCCTATTTCGGACGAAGAAATACGAAGTAGGTAACTTAATGTTTCATCTGTAAGTCGATTTCTATGTTTTGATTTAATATGTTTCATGTTTGAAAATATAAGTAATTCCAAACATGGATAACATTTTTAATGCAAACTCTCGTAAAAGTTGATATTTTAGAATAGGTAATTTTTTCCAAAGCTTATCTCAATCTCTTTTGTAGATAATAATAATGGATCTCTTTGCAACTCACATATTTCTAATTGAAGTTCAGCATCTTGCTTTTCAATTTCAACTGCCATTGGATATTTGGATTATTAAACAAATTTATTTGAGGTCGCATAAGTTCAACTTCTTAAAATCGTCTTTCGAATTCCACAGTTAATTCGTCCAAGTGGGTAATGTTATGTTCAAAATTAAACTTGTCGTTAAATTCTATTTTTATAATTCCACAACAGTACAACACGGAAAATGTATTAGTTTTTTTCAACGACTAATTTTCTAAAAACAACTGATTTTTTTCTGAATCCATCTAAAATCCAATAATTTGAGAAATTGTTAGTTTTTTACCTTGAAGTTGTAAATTTAATTTATTTAAATGTTGAGAAATATCAGTTAAAAATGAGCAACCAATGTTTTATCTTCCCCCATCAGTTGAGTTCGTACATTCGTACCGTGAGGTCGTGCTCAACTCTCCGTTACTGTCTTATTCTGTTGTAATTGTTCGTATCTTTTTTTATGGCTTCCAATAGTGTTAACTGTTATATTAGTAATCTTGGTTTGGCTGAACTCGATGTTCCTATTAAGTGTGATGGCTGTAACTTTTTAACATAACAAGTGCTCGGGTCTTAATAGTAGTGAAATTAAATGTCTTGGGTTTAAGAATCGAAATTTTAAATTCTCTTGCGAAGCATGCCATAACGGTTTGCGTGATATTACCGAGCTTAAATTAATAATTAATCGTTTATTAGCTGAAGTTAATGAGCTAAAGAGTCAGAAGAATAATAACGTTCAAAATCATTCTGAGGAGTTTATAGTTGGCGAAATCGGCAAACGCAATATCAGAGCATCTAATTTAATATTTTATAACGTTCCAGAGTACAATTTAAATAATGCAGTCGATCGAGTTAAACATGACTCTAATCTTGTGGGTAATATAATTGATTCAATTATTACTGGTGGGAATATTAGACCGTCTAAAGTTATTCCGTCTTGGTATATTCATGGCAAAAATAATCCCCGTCCAATTAAGTCTGTATTTCGCACACCAGCCAATGTGTTCGAAATATTGAAATAAAAAAAAAAATTGTTATCATTTTAAACACCTTCCACTATATTGGTATCAGTTCGGATCGCACTCTTTATCAGGGGAACTATATGAAGACGCTTCGGGATGAACTTGAGTCTCGTAGAACAAATGGTGAAATTGATCTAATCATTAAATACATAAGAGGAACTCCAACCATCATTACCAAGGATAATGGTTCTATGCCCGTACCGGAAATTTTTTATAATTAATATTTTCTACCAAAAAGTTTGTGGTCTTTTAACAAAGATCCCTTTTTTACGTAATGCATTGTTGAATGTTAATTACAATACTATTCGTTTAACTGAAACTTGGCTAAATGATACAATTTTCGATTCAGAACTTGGTTTTACTAATTATAATTTATATCGTAATGATCTTAATAATTTGTCCCATGGAAAAAACCGAGGTGGTGGTGTTCTAATCGTAGTAAATAATATAATAAGTTGTGACGTATTAAATGTCTCTAGTGTTTTGGCCTTTTGGGTATGAGCAAGTTTTTTTGAAACTTATTTTGAATAACATTAACGTTAAAATAATTTTAGGTTGTATTTATATTCCACCAGACAGTTCTTGTGATGTATACTCTAAGCACTGAGGTCATTGAGCCTATATATCTTGTGTACCCCGAATACAATTATGTTATATCTGGTGATTTTAATTTAAATCAGTTCGACTGGTCTATTGATCCAATCACTCAAAATCATAATAAAGGTTCTTTAATTTTTAACTGTTAATTAAATTACTTACAACAAGTAAACTTAAAACAAGTAAACCATATACTTAACTGTAGTGGTTGAACTCTTGATTATATAATGATTAGTAGTAATGCTGAACTTACAAATATTTTTCATTCGTTAGAATCTCTTGTTCCTATAATTGATAATTATCATCCTCCACTAGATTTTATAATACAATTTAATAATGGATTGGTTAATGAATATTTTGAATCTCCATTCGTTTATAACTTTAATAACTGTTACTTTGATGATGTTACTCATTTCCTACGGCATGGGGACTGGGGTATTGATTTTTTAATCTTAATCTGAATAATAATTCATCTTTTTAATCGCTTATCGAAAAATTTTATGAAATTATTCATCACTCTTTTAATTTATTTGTGCCCAAAACAAAAATATATAATAATTATTCACTTATATGGGCTAACGCTGAACTCAGATTGTATAATTAAAAAAAAATGTACCCACAAAAAATTTAAGTTATTTCCTTCTGATGTTAATTATTATGATTTCTTTAATCTTAAAAAAAAAAATGTTAACTCTCTAATAGAAATCTAATAATTCTGTTCCTGATTGTGTAAATTACAATAACTCATCTTTCACCAATATTTTAGAAACAGCAAAATTATTTGCAAATTATTTTTCTAGTGTCTATACTAAAGATCTTCCGTTGTTCCTCTTCCTTCTGACAGTGTTGGGAAGGAAGTAGGAACGCGTTCCTTGTATAGGAACGAAGCTCATCAGTACGCGTTCTATTTAAAATATAGGAACGAGGAACGAGAAAGAGTTCCTATTTTTAAGAAACTTGAAAGAAAATTTCCGTTCCTCGAATAATGAAAAAAATAGTTATTTTTAACAGGTTGAGTGAAACAGTATTTATGAAGC